AGATCGATAGAAATAGCTGAGAGACGTGCGAAACAAAGGACCCGCATGGTGTGGTGGTGAACGCGTTACTCCCCGGAAAGGACAATAGCGCGTTCGTTCCCCACCATAGACACCTGCGGTCCAGAGTTTTGCAAATATCTCAGCAACGTTGTGGTTGTATTTCGCTTACTTAGTAACCTGCCATGAAAATTATAGAAGGCAGAAAACAAAACGTTAAACATTGTGATTTCAACTACAGCCATAGCTTAACTGGGTTCTATGCCGATTTGCGCTCCCCAGATCAACCCGCTGACCGGTGATTGTTGAGGCAAAAAGATCGATAGAAATAGCTGAGAGACGTGCGAAACAAAGGACCCGCATGGTGTGGTGGTGAACGCGTTACTCCCGGGAAAGGACAATAGCGCGTTCGTTCCCCACCATAGACACCTGCGGTCCAGAGTTTTGCAAATATCTCAGCAACGTTGTGGTTGTTTGTTATTATTCGATCACCGCTGAGGTTATATTTCCTTGACAAAACCCTCCTCATAACTTAATCAGATTATCATGGTAGAATGGCAAGACCTTTGTTGTGAGGGGTCGTTGTATACTGTTTGCGAACTTTTACCATCCCTGTCCTGGTCGAATGGATGCCCTTCGTATCGTGTGCTGCCCCGTTGAAAATGACTCGAGTAGATGATTTGTGTCAATGATGAAAAATTGATAACACTTTCCGCTGTCTTGGAGATCTATGCTTTTGCAACAAAATGATGCTTTTGGTTCTGCATTGCTTTGGATCCTAGTGTTTCCATAGATAAAGCGGATGAAGCAGAGCTAGTGCGTTTTTTAGTGATGACAGAAAGTCCTTCAGATGCCGGTGTCCAATTCTGCACTACCGACTACTCTACAGTTCTTGAACGACCAGAATGTATGTTGGACATGAAAAGTGAGACATATGCTTTCTCTCTAGCGTAATATATGGAGGGAGAAATACTTTTGAAGAGATCAGAATAGAAGTGGAGCATAATTGTGCTAGGTGACTTAAAAATAACTCTCTATTTTAAAATTCCTACAGCTTATTTCTTAACGTAAAAAAATTTGACGGAAACGAATGTGAAGAAAAAGTAGAAAAAGCATGTGGCATGGAGTTTTATCTAAAATTCGATATGGCACCACCACCATTCGCCACCAGCTTCTCAGCCTGATAGGAGACCGCATCAAAACATTTCACCAGAAACTCTTATAGGATGTAGGATATAACTTTTCCTATTCGCCCTCCAAGTTCTCCCAGAGTTGTTGTTTTGTAAAGTGGTTCTGGTTTTTTTAACCATCAACAAAGAAAAATGTCGTAGGGTGTTAAGCCTGTGCTTCTAGCTGGTCACTCATGCCAGACCATGGCGACCCATCCATCGCGGCATTGACTACTCAATAGTTTACGTCGGATTCTCCTTTGTTATTTCGTTCGGAAGTATGTTGTAGAGAAGCTTTTAAAAGGTTAGAAAAAAACTTAAGGGTAGAAAAACCGTTTCTTCATGTCTTCTTGTTCTGAACTCCCGGTACACCAACCCTTCCATCACTTCTGCGTCGCAAAATTGGTAGCACACTTGTCTAGGAGGATAGTAGCGTTAGATCGATACATAGATAGGTCACCGCGAGTCATTGTAAAGACCACATATGCATTCAAACACCACCAACGATACTTAATGAAGTCGGATGCATGGTGCATCCCTCAGGGATTGATCAACGCCGACAGCCTTCTTCATCCTTTTCTGAAAAAAACAACACTGCGAGAGTAAATGCTGCTGCTCTTCGTTCTGATTTTATGGTAGTTTTAGCACAGAACGGACGATTGCTCGTGAAGTCCTTTTCAACTTGGTCACTCAAACCCCTGATTATTGGAAATCACCAGTTCCGAAGATATTGCCGACCTTTCCGAAGGATTGGGTGTTCATTTCGATATTCAGCGTTTATGCGAAACCCGGATTTCAAAACAGCCGCGGTTGTTTGCTTAAAGATAAGCTTCACTGAGTGCCACGTGGATATATCTGATAATATGTTGGTAAGAAAGGTGAATTTCATTCCGATTTCGCTGCAATGGATCTAAGCCCGGTGTTCTCAAAATTGTTTCCTGTTCCTCCTGACACAGGAACTCCACAACAGGTTTGGGTCTGCTTCATTTTTGATCTGCTTTCATCGTTCTTCATAAGATATTTTTGATATTTTTGCTGACAGAAAACTGCTCCATGCTATTCTTTTATTGTACAGAAAGCCAAGATTATTGCAGATCCCACGAGGACAGTACGGCTTCCCGGTACCGCCTGCACTCCGCCCTCATGCCGAACCTCCTCAAGGAATACCGTACCCGAACGCACTCTCAATGCATAAGCTGCGTTCCAACCATGCAGCACACGTAAATAGGGCTGCTCACTCATCAGACAAGGCCAGTTTGAGACATTAGATAGCAAGAAATTTTCGACATTTCACTACTACTTTCTTGCACCTGAAATATATTGACGTTTCAGCCTTCGCGAAACTTTGAGGTCCACCCTATGCATCATGAAATACGCCACGTGGTCCCGCCGTCGGATTCACGCAGACCAGATCAGGAAGAAGTGAGGGGAAAAAAGTGGAATGGGTACGACAACTCACGAGTTAGCCACCGTCAGACGAGCACTGGTATCCTGTCGTTTCCAACAGCTAGGGTTCCGAGAACAGCTAGTAAAGCAGTAAGTGGCTGAAACTTCGCAGTACCGCTGGATCATACGCAAATAGTGAGAGCATGAAAGGCGAATACGATAGCATTGTTTTCAAACGTAGTACTTTTAAATTTGCTGAAAATTGCACGTAGTTGTCAACAATACACGTTTGAAAGTCTACCCTTCGGATAACTATAACTTGCGTGTAGTGCACTGGTGTCATATCTTTTGAAGATTTCATGGCTAGTTTCGCTGTTATCTTTAGAGAACGACTGTGTAACTGTTTCTATTTGATAGAAAACACTGTGTACTGAAATATATGCATTTGTGCCAGAGAACCCTTGCAGTTATCACTTATTTGAAAAACTTTTTAATCTACAGGTAATCAAACATTTCTCAACATTTAAAATCCATACGGTAAAATGAGCGAACCAACGGTTTACCGGCTCGTCGTCACTGGAGCATGTTCCTGGTTGCGTTCCTGGCTGCGATTTACAACGAGAGATTAATCTTCTGGCATGGCCTCGCAAGCTTAGCAGCCCTATGTTTCCATCTCGAAGCGTAGCTAAGAGTAAACCAATACCAGGAATCACCACCGTCCTAGTATAAAACTAGTTGCATGGTAGCAAATCTCGCTCTGATCCACAAGGAAAACGCCCTCCTGGGGTGGTGAATACCTAGAGCAGACTTTGGCCAGGGTGACTTCGAGGCTTCAGGGAACCACAATGGCTAAGCCATCAAATGTCCTACTATGTAGAAATTTTACTAGGGATGCAAAACTTGTGAATAGAGGCGATCCAAACATTCAAGTAATTAAGTAAAAATGAGCGAAAAGTGAAAAAGTGCCTTCTTTATGCTTAGTGTAACACCGTGCTTAGAGATTGCCTGCAATACACTCCTTGTCATTGGCGCAATCCAACGCTCGTTCTCACCAAGACTTCTATCCTGCCTACATCGGCAAACTGGCACCAGATAGCAGCACTACTCGATCAACACCAACAGAAGTCATTGTACAGGCCACATATGCATTCGATCACCTCCAAACAATGCTTAATGAAGTCGGATGCATGGCTCATCACACAGGGACTGATCAACGCCAAGAGCTTTATCTTTTACTTTATTTGTTGTTTGTTAAGATTCACTCTTTTAGAACCAAGTATAACCATAAAGCCTCCAGAATTATTTAGCAAGATTCACAAATAATAGTGCATTTCTAGAAAGTCATTTTGGATAGTTGTTGCAAACCATTGGGGCTGTTTTTTGTATTTTCGAACCCTCTTCCTGAATTCCTGTTTTGACCTATTTGACACTTGATATGACGCTGTATGCGGCAGATTCCGTTGGGAGCAATACAAAACGGCGTACAATGACTTTCACAGTAGTAAAAGGCGATGTTCAGGAACAATGCCATTATTAATCATTGAAACAGTTACAACCATTCACTGTGCCCTGAAATTATTGACATTTGAAAATTTATGAAGTCGGAGACAGGACACTCATCGATAAAAAATCTGCCACTGAGATTGTCGGTTCGTAGCTTCAAAAAACAGTATTCGACTTGCATGCATTTGTACGTATCGTACAAACCTTGCAAATTTTCAATGTGCCTGAAGTAGTACATATTTCTGTCGTGCAGCACCGGTCTGGAAGAATGCCTGCCTCAAATAAATTACTATGTAGGTTAAGATGAACAAGATTATCGCGGCTTCTGTGAAAGCCCCAAAATCGGCCTACGCTGACACTGTCCTTTGCCAAGCCGTTCTCGCAAGCCGCTTCAAACGTCGCAGCATTAAATGTGCTGTTCTCAATCGAACAGCCATGAACCGTAATTTGGTTCCCTCCAAGACTAGTGTTTTCCACGAATTGGGCTCTTTCCGATTGACCCTTAGTCTTATCTTGGCATGAATAATCTCTATTTATGTAATTCCGTTTCAACAGATGACAACATCATTGGCAGAGGCTGCGGGCGAATCGTCTATCAGCTCACTTGTCTTTTATTGTTGCACTGCGAGAAAGACTGGTTTTAGTGATTCAAAACCTATCATAATTATGATTGACTATACAACTTTTATCTACTACCCATTATTTTTTCACGGGAGGGTATTATATCACAACCTGTGTTTAAACTTATATGAATTGCTCATTGTAGTCACTTTTTATTTGCTACCTATTTTTTCCTAGAAAGGGTATGCTATAAAATATAATAAATGTAAAAAAAATAACATCTATAAAACGCAGCTGAGAGAAAGGAGAAACGAAGGACCGCCATGGTGTCGTAGTGAACGCGTTAGCTCCCGGAAAGGATAGTACCGTATTCGATCCCCACCTCAGATACCTACGGTCCAGAGTTTTGCAAATATCTCAGCGACATTGTAGAAATACATATTGTTTTTTTTTCCAATTTTCATGAATGAACCACAACTAAGCAAACTAGTAAACTGATCTTGTTGAGCTGATGCGAGGTTGGTAAAAGTTATCGTTGTTGTTGCTGTTGTTCTTGTTATTGTTGCCCTTGTTGTTGTTGTTATCGTTGTTGTTGGTGGTCCATGGCTGACGTTACGGCAATTTCGTCTTCCTCAGAGCCGTAATGTTACGAGTGAGACAAGTAAGCAAACTGAAATATCGCAGCCCAACATATATGGCTGCGCATGGGAAGAGCAGGACTTTACTCATTTCTGTCGTTCGTTCTTCTCTTCCCTTCCCACTCCCACACCAAATATTGGCTTTGCAGATGGTGTCTTCCACTAAAGCTCCAGGAGGTGGTACAATCGTCTCATCGCGTGATGAAAATGGCCAAATTCGTGTACGCGTGGAATATAACCGTGATGAGGTAAGAGCAATCACTAATAGATTTTTCTACGAAGAATTGTTGCTTGGGAAGCGAACCACATTACACATAATGGTGAAGTGATGCAATATAATATACGTTCAAAGGCTATTTTTTGTTGGTGTTCAGAAACAAAAAAAACCGTCTCGTGTCTTAACATTCAGATGCTTCACTTCGCCCACTCGCCCTACGCAGTTCTGCCGCCGGCCTGTCTCAAGGACCTCGTGATTAATACTCCACAGATTCTGAGCCGGTTTCCACAACGGCACGGGGTCAACCTAAGCCTCTCGTGCAAGGCGGAGAAATAACTCCCTACAGATTTCCCATCGAGATCCAGTCCATGTTCGCTCAACCGTGTAGAACTACATCGCATACATAGATATTAATTTGTCTGCTTCCCGCTTATGCTATTGGTTTTCTTGATGATTTCCGAGTTTAAACAAAAATAAATGTTTTTCATGTTCTATATATTCAGTGAGACACTGAAACTGGAGTTAAGCCTGCCAAGACCAACTAAGCTAATACTCAATCGCAAGAAAAATGCTCCTCCATCTGGACCTTGGCATGGATGATCAATATTTTAGTTTATTGATGAGCCTACACGAGGTTGTCATAAATCTCTATATTGACTAACGTTTGGCGGTTTCGCCTTCATCGGAGCGGCGATGATCCGAGTCGTATGTCTACAGCAGCCGCTGCTTTTTGTGTCGTTGGCCTTCGTAGTATCGAAATCGAATCTAATAAAGCAGAATGGAGCACTGTACATATAAAGTAGCGTCAACTCGTACAAGGCTTTAGTTGTACCGAAGTGATCCAACTTCACAGGGCAGTTCCCATGCATAGAGGACGATTACTCGTCTATTACTAACCAAAACTATTTCTACTCTACAGCCGTATGTATTAACACCTCAGACGTTTCTTTTATTTTTGTCAACGTGATTTTCACGTTGGAATCAAGGAATATAAATTGCTGGAAAAGCCATGAAGTGATTAATTCATCCACACGATTTGATCGACAAGCAGAAACTGCGGTGCCAAAAAATCTGCAACTCATTGCTTATCTACTCATTACCTATTTCAAAAACCAGAGGCTCACCTTTGGAGCATATTAATACTCTTAATTAACTAAAAATGCATGTTACAACACAATAGACAATAAAGAACTTTCAGCTGAACGACTAGGTGAGGGCATTGTGTTGTTTAAGCTGAGATTGCACAGCGATTCTGCAGCATGACAACAATACGTTGACTCGTATGAAATGCTGAGATATTTGCAAAACTCCGGACCACAGGTGTATGCAATGAAGAACGAACACGCGCTGTTGTCCTTACCGGGGAGCAGTGCACTTCACCACTACACCATCCGGGTCTGGTGTGACCCGTCAACGTATTCTTAAATCTTTTATTTACTGCCTTTTTTTCTTCTTAATGGCAGGTTATGTTGCGAAATATAACTCGTATGAAATGCTAAGATATTTGCAAAACTCCGGACCACAGGTGTATGCAATGGAGAACGAACACGCGCTGTTGTCCTTACCGGGGAGCAGTGCACTTCACCACTACACCATCCGGGTCTGGTGTGACCCGTCAACGTATTCTTAAATCTTTTATTTACTGCCTTTTTTTCTTCTTAATGGCAGG